TTAAAATCCACACACTGTTGGCTACTGTGGCTTGTTGTCCTCGGGGTGATGAAGGGAAAAGAGACCCCAGAAACAGGCCCTGGGGTGGGGATGGGAGAGTCTACTCAATCATCACCTCAAACAGACGGACCGCTGGCCAATAAGACACATAAGCACACAGACACAGATACACACACACACACACACACACACACACACACACACACACACACACACACTCGAAGATGACCTAGACCCCCCATGCTGAGGTAGCAGTGATCAGATGCATCAATTCCATCCATCAAGACTGAAAGTGAAAAATGACGTCTGGAAGTGTATGATTATGCTCCCGGGCTTCTACGCATCAATCAATGGACACACACACATTCGACCACACATTAAACAGACAAGACGCAGAACTTGAAAAATGAACGAGAGTAAATTAATCTCCTTGTCTGAGGAAGTGTGTGTGAGTGTGTGTGTGTGTGTTGGTGTAGAGCAGAAAGAGGGATGAACAGTGTTATTGGTGAAGAGAAGAAAGATCACGGTCAGAGCAGGATTTAATCAAGGAGAGAGTGAGAGCAAGTTTGTGTATGTAGGAGTGAGTGCACTGAGGTTTATCTGAGAGCTCTTCACTGGTTGCTGCTGCAGAACATCACTAGCTTTAGTGGAGGAAAAAATCTTACAGAAGCTTTAAGAGAGATTAGAAAAACATGTGTGACATGTATAGAATCACAGTCCTTTCTGCTCTTATGTCTTTATCCCTCGCTCCTCATCTTCTTCTTCTCTCCCTCTCGTCGCCCTTCCTCCCTGGTGTGCGGTGCTGTTGGAGTGTGTGTAATTCAGAAATGGTGATGTGTGCGTGTTGGATGTGTCTGAATTTGTGCGTCAGTGCCAGCTGTGGCAAATTGACCATAATAACAGACTTTAAATGCCACATCCGCTCCTATTTGTCATGTTAACCCCTACAGCAGTCACCACATGCAACATAAAATAGTGCTCCTGGTTCCTCTGTTCATGTTTATGCCACATAGGAAAACTCACAAGTTCAAGGAAGATGAGTTAACTTCCAAAATATGTTGTTAAAGCATTACCTCATTTTATAACCATTCAGTGTCTATCAGTTATAGGTTATTTAGTCCGTTCCATTGTCATTTTTCTCACCCATAACCTTGGAACACTACCTCCTGAAAAGTACTACAACTTTAATGTTTAAAGGAATGGTTTGACATTTTGGAAAATGTGCTTATCTGCTTTCTTGCCATGTGTTAGATGAGAAGATCAATACCACAGTCTATCCATTAAAAATAAGCTTACAACCAGCCGGTTAGCTTAGCTTTGCATAAAGACTGGAAACAGGGGAAATGGTTAGCTATAAACAACAAAATGTAAAAACAACGAGTGTGGCTTTACTGGACGTTATATGCCGGATTATTTCTTGGCAGAGAGCAATGACCTCCTGGGGTCTCTGTTTGTTGCCTGGCAATGACAACATCTTTACATATCACATAATGCTTTGTAAAAGAACATTTCATCGACATATATAAACATGGACGACATGACAGCTCTCCAAAATCTCCCCCTGGTGGCTAACTGCAGTATAGGTCAAAAAGTCTGCTTTCTCCATGTTAACAGATGAGACATGGGTATTTATTGTATTATTGGTATTATATGAAGTGTTAATTTTTTATTTTTTTGATAAGTTTGGTTTGAATTTGTTATTTGAAGCCGTAAAAAGGGGGTTTCGCGTCATGATTGACAGCTGAGCCTTGCTCGCAATTGAGTTGGCCGGCTTCATTTTTGTGCAGTGGGAAGAAGTGGAGACGCAACGTCCATCTTTTATATGTCGATGGAACATACCAGTGTGTTTGCACATTTTAACTCCTTAACTAGTATGTAAGTAAGTACGTTTAGTAATAGTTTATAGGACTTTTCAAGAGTGGGGCGTCACAGCGGGCTTCACAATAAAAATAATGACATGCATACTTACGAAGGGTAAAACAACCATCGTGTGTAGCCGACTTTATGTTGTTGTTCAACCATTTTGAGATGCATAGTTAGAGCAGTTTGGATGTACTTCTCTTACCTTACAATTCCTTCCTGTTGGGTATAAAATCTCAACTAGCATAAATTAGTTAGGTGTCATGTTTCACATCAAGTCTGCATTCATTCTTGCCAATTTTACATAAGAATTTCATGATAATGCAGTGCAAGTGCAAAGTGCACTCAAATACAACACAACAATAATGCACCTTGATAAAAAGTTCACACATTACAGTCATCTTGTGAAAAATTTAATTAGCAAGTAACAGAACGGATGTCACAGTGACGGTTTATTCGGAACCTTTCCTGAACTGGAAGAGTGTAAGATTTAAAGCAAGAGTCTTGATTCTTGTTAGTAGAATATTGTGGTGTAATGTGGTGAAGACCTAATGGCAATTGCGGGTTTAGTAAGAGAACAGAAAACACATATGTCTAAGAGGCTGCTATAGTAAGTCAACAGGGTGCAGCATGAGTGGATAAAAGCTATTGATCTGCTATCAGCACACACACGCTCAGTTTTAAAACGTCTGAGATAAAGCCACCTCACAAACGTCAACTGCATTTGAAGAAATCAATGAAGACTCCTCCTTCAGATGCATCTCATTAATATGTTGGCGCGCAGATCGGTTGCTCAGCATAAATCAGCTACTTTATTGTCAGTAGTTAAGAGAGACAAGGCAAAAGTTGATGGAGGAGCCAAGAAACTCATAACGCAAGCAGCTTTGGTGAAGACGCTTGTTAAAAAGATACCACTATGTGTGTGTGTGTGTGTGTGTGTGTGTGTGCGCATGCGTGTGTATGTGCGAGAGAGAGAGAGACAGAATTAGAGCTTTTCATCCACTCCAGTTACTAATCACAGTCTCATTCTCTCTCACCCTGCATAATTCTCCCCCTCGCCTTTATAAATCTTTCCTCTCTCTCCTCCTCTTCCTCTCTTTCTGAGGGCAGAGACAGCAGATGTGTTGGCAGGTTAAATGACCTCTGTGATGTATGACTTAACAAACCCCAGGCATCCATCAACCCTAACCTAAATGTGTGTGTGTGTGTGTGTGTGTGTGTGTGTGTGTGTGTGTGTGTGGTGTGTGTGTGTGTGTGGAACAAAGAGAGAGATAGAGATGCTACTCATAAAGTGCAATTTCAATTCACCTTCAGCCCAAACTTGTGCCTGACATCCACTCAGCAACGGCCTCTCCTCTCCTCTCCCATGAATCCATCCCCTCATGAATGAGTGTGTCTGCTGGTGTATGTAGATGTGCTGTATACATGAATGTGAATGAAGGTCTCCGATAGTGTAATTACTTTGGCCAGGATTCCCCCAGTTTGCTGCATGGATATACTGATGAGAGATGCCCTTTCTGACCCCTGCATGTATATGTGTGTGTGTGTGTGTGTGTGCGTGTATGTGTGTGTTTGAGGGAAAAAATGAGGGAAATAGATTTTGGGAGAGATTGACGAAATAGCTCTCTTGGCTGAAAAATATGTATTTGCATGCCCCAAAAATACACGTGTTACTTTGTTTTACTGTTTTCTATTAGCTTATAGTTGTAGAATGTAACATTTACTCACGTAGTGTACTTAAGTATAAATTGGAAGTACTTGTTACTTTTTTTTTTCTTCTTTATGCCACTTTCTGCTTATACTCCACTACATTTCAGAAGGAAATATTGAACTTTTTACTGCACTATAATTATCTGACAGATTCAGACAGTACAGCTGAAACTATTAGTAGATTGCCTCTGTATTTTGATAAATGTTATCAACAAAAACATATATGATGGTCCCAGCTTCTCAATTGTGAAGATTTGATGCATTTCCTTTTAATTGTTTCATTTTTATTTTTTTTATTTTGAGGGCTTTGAAGGTGTCACTTTGGGTACTGAGTAATTGTGGTTGTATTTCCCTCTATTTTCTGAATCTTTACTAACAATCAATCAATTAATGGAGAAAATAATCAGTAGATTAATTCACTATGAAAATAATCATCAGTTGCAGTCCTGTACAAAACAATAAAAAATGAGCAGTAAAATCCAGCTTTCACATGAATACCTGAGTACTAATAATCTACTGATATAATATAATGTAGTATAACAGTACAAGTATGTACATATATTACATGTACATACTTTTACTTAAGACATTTTCAATGCAGAACTTTTACTTGTCACAGAGTATGTTTACACTTTTAATACACTGTAAAAGTACTTGGTACTTGTAGTACCTAGTACCTTTACTTAAGTAAAGGAGTCTCTCCACCACTGTGGTTGAGATAATGTGTATGTCAACATGCTAATAAAGCGTGATCTGACAGTAAGAGAACTTGCAAAATAGTGTGCATAGGATGTATATAGCGAACTAGATGGAGGGTCTGTGTTTGCATGAGAAAAAGAGAGGTTTCAGTACTTACTGATCCTTAATTGTAAGTGAAGATGAAAATATAGTGCTGTTAACTGCTTACGTGAAAGTTTTCATCACAGCAACCTGAACACATTTTCCCTGCTCTGCTGCTACAGTCGTCCATCAGCCCCGTGCTGACAGACGGCGGACGTGCCCTCTCCACGCAGTAATTACAGGAAGCCAAGGAGGAGCTGCTCCAGGCACATCCTGGCACACGGCTCACCTGGATGACTTTTTTCCTCTCAATTAGTTTTAATGTTGGAGTTTAAAGGGCATCAAAAGAGAAATTTAGGTCAGTCAGTCAGAGATACTCTTCTGTGGAAAGATTTAATTAGAAATAAAAAGACACACAAAACATGTTTTCCTCTGGTACCTTTTATACGATTTTTAACGTTATGTATCCGTCTACAAAAGCAGTTAAACACGTACTAGACATGACAATGAAAATAATTGTTAATATGATAATATTGCAGGCCACTCTTCACAGAGGATTCACCTAAAGGCCAAACTGTAATTGTAAAATATAAATTTTTAATTAAAAGAAATTAAAAGATGTTATCTTTAAAGCCTTCACAATCTTATAAAAAACATGTTTTGTAATCATTACTTTTGAAGTTTGAGCACTAATAAGAGGAAGAATCTTCACACCAAGCAGCTACATCATTGTCACAAATGCACCACAGGCCGGCGCAGAATCTGAAACCTATTTACCCTTTTTTTCTTTCTTTTAAACAAATTGATTGGCCTACCCCCTGGTTGCGATGAATATTTTTTGTGTCATGTTTAGCAGCTTGTCTTTTGACTCTCTGATTCTCCTGCTAATTGTCTCAGCAGGGCAGCTGACCAAGATGGCTGCCCTGCCCTCTGGATTACTGTGACTATACTCCAGCAACAAAAGAGGAGTTGAGGAAAACACCAAGGAGAAATAAAATACTTCACCCATCCCTCTCCCCAAGAAGTGCCAGATCTTTATTTCACTCTTTTCTCTCTGCTTTTTCTGTCTCAGTGCCCCACAAAGTGAATGGAAAGCACACGACAATCTTTTTTTGTTGACGTTCGATGGCGCGTGATAATGTGGTCATTATCATCGCTAAAGGAACAGGTTGAGGCTCAGACAGGGTTTCATTGGGGGCCTTTAAAGCACATACAATCACACACACACACGCACGCACACACACACTTTCAGTGTGGGAAAAGAATGCATCTAAAAGAGGGACAGCTGTTTGGGTGGTTCGTGAGGATGGCAAGATGGCCTACTGTAAACTCCACCTGTGCATACGGCCATGCCTCAGGCTGTGGGGGAAAGCAAGGGCCAGCAGCGTGGGAGCCTGTGATTTTGTCCAGTCAACTGGGAGGTGTGTATTAGCGTGCGAGGAATCCCAAAATGACACCCAAATAAATTCAGAATCTATTTAATGTGATTTTGTCATAAGAAAATTCTCAAAACTGACTTTTAAAACCTTTTCAAAATCTCCAAAGTCATATTTACAGATAATACCAAAGTGGACAGCACTGGCCTACAGAGGCAGAGAGCAGTAACTAAAGAAGAGAAAAGTTGAGTGAAAGTTTAAGTTTTCCGACTTGCTGACAAACTGCGTGACAGATATAAAGGTTGCAATGTGTTCTGTATTTTTATCTCCCAAAAATCCCTGCCAGAAACCTACATGATTCACTAATACAACAAAACACATGATACTGCTCTCTGCATTTGGATAATAGATAATATAATAATACAGAATGTAAGTGCAAAATGCAGCATCTACAAACAAAATCTTCTTTCAGCTTGTTTCACAAAACAAACTTTGTTTTGATCATTTAGCTTAGCCTGTAATGTATGTGTTTTGCCACATGTCTATCTATTGTATACATTTTATTGTGTGATTTAATGGTAGCTGAACCACATCAAAGCATATGCATTCCACTAAAGTCAAAAGCTGACATAGCATGTGTATTGAGATGCTAAGCTTATTAGCTTTAGCAGGAGATGAAATGTTCTTCTCTTTCGTGATTTGCTTTGGCTTCTGCCTCATTTGGCTATGTGGAATAACAAACTGATGTCTTGACTGTTTATCAAAATTTATATTTTTCATTTAGAGATAATAGCTATAGTTAGCTATAGCTAAAGTAAGTTTAGATACCAACTTGGCGTTCGGTATCTAGTACTTTTTACATATCTATGATCTCACCAGTTTTATTTGATTTAGCTCTCTTGCTTTGGCTGTTTAGTTGGGCGGCTGTCTGCAGTACAAAGTGCAGTAATGGTGGCTTTTAAAGGCCACAGATTAAGACGAACAAAATCTGCATAGAGATCTGTTTAAAAGAGTGTGAAAGCTGGGCCCTACATGTATAATTTATTGCAACTGTATATCAGACAATAGCGGTATCTCTATACACTTTGTTTTAGCCACTAAAAATAATGTAGTGTAGTGACGTGGAATAATGTACATAACCTACACTCTCACCCATCTTTATACATATACTTTATACATTTATAATATCTCCTGAAACATTTTTAAACAATAGACCATATGGAATGGGAGATTTCTGATGGAGTGAACTGTTTGTCTTTGCATAGCATCACCGAAATTAATCTTGTGCACTATCAATCACCCGGTGTAAACGTTGTGTTGGTGCGTGTTGAGTGGATGAGGAATGTGATTAACTTTTCGTCTATGTGTGTCCAGCTGACTTCATTCAGGCTGGACATAGAACAAGAGAGATGAAGAAAGGACAGGGAAGCAGTTAATACCAAACAATTAAAGGAAATGGATTAAATCCTGCTGTTTTATTAAATTTGAAATTCAAATGAAATGCTCCCTGCGTGGTTTTGCTCATATATTAAGAGGCTGAGGATCATTTTGGATTATTTTCAGGGTGTGCTCATCATATTGGTTAACCCTCCATGATTTAAGAATGGGATTAGCTATTTACCAGTTTACAATCATGTTATATAAGTTTCCCCTCACAGTGTATACAGTCATTGAAATGATTTATAAACTGACAAAAGCACAGGAAGAGGTGTTTTTTTTGAAGGACATTTGTTTTATGTTGAATGAGATGAAATTGCAGAGGCAGTGGTGGTGTCCTCCCCTCCCTCCCCCAGGGCTGACTGGAAACGCCCCAGGGACAGGATGGGACGGACCGGGCCAGCCTCTCATTCATCAGCCTCTCCCCTCTGCGTGGCTTCACAACATCAGTAAAAACAACATCAGTCTCGGAAAACAAAGCTTTTGTGCCGAATCACATCAGGCCGGGTGGCTTTAAACATTCAAGACTTTAAAGAGTTTACCTAAAACACACTGAATCTCATTCGTCTGAACTGTTCACAAGGTGCAGCTCTATCTGCAGAGTGCTGCTGCTTTTGGTGTTTTCTAAATGTTATCTTTTTGTAGGTAATTGTGCACAATGTTACACATATTTAAATTTAAACTGAACTGATGAGCACAGTGATGCCACAGTAACCTGGGCTTTGGGGTCCTCTGGGGCCTGGTTCACAATGGAGCCTTGTGGTGTTTGAGCTCTGTAATAAATGGTAATAAAACTGCTAGCACGGACAAATAAATAATTTATGCTAATAAAACTGCTTATTTATGAACCAAATGATGACATTCCCATGAACAGCAACATAACTGAGGGTAAGAGAGACTGGGGGCTAGTTAGTTAACTATCTAAATAAGGTAGCACTGTGCTGGTCAAATAGCTCCAATGAATTTACTGGTTTTCACTTCATGTCTCCTACTCCTTGCCGCTCGCGAGACCTCACTTTTAAAATTTACGACGTCCTCGAGCGCAAACGTTCAGAGACAGCCTGGAACTGCTCTCTGATTGGTCGTCGGGCTCTCAGCGGCACTTCAAAGCCACGAAGAAGCTACAACTACTAAAGCAGTCAGAGAGGAAAGACAGACTCATCACATCCAGTCACCGTGAGCGCACACACACACACACAGTCAGTCGGACATACAGCACAGACGATGGCTGCTACAATGCTAGGGGTAAGTTTATATTTCTGAATATTTGCTGTAACATTCGTTTGAAGAAGTTGCTAAAATATTGGTTTATTTTGGTTGTAATATCCTATCCGCAGAGGGCTGTGTGTGTGTGTGTGTGTGTGTGTGTGTGTGTGTGTGTGTGTGTGTGGTATTCAGGGAACAGTTACCTCCTGTATAGTCGCTGTAATAACCTATAATGTACAGTTAAAATCTAACGATATGTAGGATTAGGAGTTGCTTGTGGTTAAAGTAAATGGAAGTGCACAGTTGAGCATATGATGTTATAAACCCTCTCACTGTAATGTGATTCATCTAATGACAGTAAAGCGTCCATGTTTTATGTTTTTGTTATTCATAATATGAAAAAGTGTACCTGCTGTCGGTGCTATTAGCTGGCAAACACTTTAATGAGCTCCTCTGTTGTCTCTAAATGATCCAAGTCAGATGTGCACTGTTAGTTAAACTTATTGAATTTGACCTGTGAGCCTCAAAGTTTTGCGCAGATATGACTAACATGCTTCACAAGGTAATAGTCTGCGCGTCTTTACGCACGTCATGTTTGGGCATTACTCTGAAGTGACAGGCCTAAAGAAATGTCTGTGTGTTCCCCACAGGAGGAGCCCCGGCTGGGCAGCACGCCGCTGGCCATGCTGGCTGCCACCTGCAGCAGAATTGGTGACCCCAGCCCTTCGTGCTCCCCTGCTCTCTCCGATGGAGCCCCGGGACTCGTCAAGGGCTTCCACCCGTGGAGAAGAGCCCCAGGGACCAGCAACCTAGGTGCCTGCCTCACCTCGCTCGGGGTTCCCTCTGGAGCCTCCAGGAATAACGGGGCCGGACTGACGGAGACCTCCAGTGCTTTCTCGGTGACCACTGCCAACTCCCCTTTTGGAAATGATTATTCTATGTACCAGACTGCTGTGCCATCAGACAACAGTGTGCCCGATCCTGCGCACGCACAGCGGTCTATGTTTCTGACCAAAATCCCGTCCTCGGTGGAAGGCATAACCGGGATATATCCGAGGATGCACGCGCATCCCTATGAGTCATGGTTCAAGCCCATAGGAGAGGTCAGTAACGGGTCCGCTGCTTGGTGGGACATGGGAACCAGCTGGGTGGACACACAGAGCACGGCCGGGTTACCTTCTCATCTGAGCGGCTACAGCACTGACTTCAGCTCCGCTTTCAGCCCCGGTGCCACTCAGCACCTGCTCCCCGCCACACAGCACCTGTTTGACGGCTTCAGGCCACCTGTCCCGTGTCCCTACACAGAGTCTACGACGGCAGGGGCACCTGCACTGACAGGAAACCCCGTCGTTTCTCTACCCTCAACCTCCCGCTCCTCCTCGCGGCGCTACTCCGGCAGAGCCACGTGCGACTGTCCGAACTGCCAGGAGGCGGAGAGCCTGGGCCAGGGGGGCACGAGCCCGCGGCGGAGGGGAATGCACAGCTGCCACATCCCGGGTTGCGGTAAAGTTTACGGCAAGACCTCTCACCTGAAGGCTCACCTGCGCTGGCACACCGGAGAGAGGCCGTTCGTCTGCAACTGGCTCTTCTGCGGGAAACGGTTCACGCGCTCCGACGAGCTCCAGCGGCATTTGCGCACGCACACCGGGGAGAAGAGGTTCGAGTGCTCCGTTTGCCACAAACGGTTCATGCGCTCCGACCACCTCAGCAAGCACACGAGGACGCACAGCGCGGAGGGCTCGGAGGATGGCGGAGAACCGGGACTCGGTAAAGGGAGCAGCGACACGGACAATAGCCTCTCCGGTAGCCCGAGCCAGTCTCCCGGGCTACACGCGCGTGATAATGTCCAAATCACCGAGGGTGCGGTGGAATAATTCACTAAACTAAACACGAACAAAGCAACACGTGGGCATTTGATTACACTGTACCAGCCTTTATGGAGGGCGTTTTCTTGGACACTTAAAAACTGAAATGGCACTTTATGATGAACACTGTGTCCTTACCTCATATATGTTTATTTGTAGCCTTCTTTAAAATAAATTTTTACTCTTCAGTTTATCAGACTGCTGTTATTTGAAGACATGTTATGTGCGCCTTATTTATTCTACAAACACTATTTTTGTTTTGTTTAGCATTAAACAAGTAGTCATATCATTATTTGGGTTGTTTCTTGACATCACAACGCAATGTAATTAATTTAGGGTTTTGCCATATTATTATAGGTTTTTATGTTTGGTTGAATTGTTCTGATTTATTTCAGCTTGCAAGTCATGATTAGACTATAACTCCTATCTATAAAACAGGACAATCTGTGGACATATTTCATTTCTCGGTAGACCTTCTAGGCTTTGGATTTAACCTAAGTCGTTTTTGCATATTATGATAAATGACTAATCAGTATTTTTTTACTGACAATTACAAATATAAAACAGTGTATAATTAAAATCTAATATCTATCTTTATTCTGAACCAGGAAAAGCTACATAAGAACCCACTAGAATTAATCAGGCCCCTGAAATGTAGTCAATCCGGGTTTTATTTTTTATGGACTGTTAGCAACTGATTGATTGAAATAATTGATTTTTGCCCGTGTAGTGTAGACTGGAGCTGACACAGACTTACGCCATTAAATTAAATGAATAACAACTTGACGTAATATTTCAGGTAGAACTGAGGCCTATAGCTGGTTTTTGATAATTAAATATTCCTGATGAAGGTATTGAAATAATTTCAGATAATTTATCAAACACTGTATTTTACACACTTACTGTAACTTGCCTATTTCTTAAAATATTTGCAGCGATCAGTAACACTCATCCCAGTTGCCTTTGTGTGTGTCTCCACCTAGTGTTCAGTTTGTACAGACACTATTTTTTTTGGACTATTTGAGTTGGTCACACTTTGATTGTTTTGTTCACTTTGTTGAATCACAAAATACAAAACAATATTAGCCAGATCTACACAAGATGTACACAACTGAAATGAAAATATTGACTATATGCATTAAAAACACAGGCTAGCAATGAATATTGGAAATATTTGTTGAACTTATCATAAATTTAACCTGACTAACGTACAGTAGACCTAACTTGTTTCCCACATTTTTATATATAAAAAAAGAAAAATGCAAGAAATGATAAAAAAAATCTTGTACATTTTATTGTGATCAAAATATTCATGCTACACAGGTAGTCACATTAATTGACAGTTTTAACTACACGGAAAAGTGCTGTTGTTACCCCGAACTCAGCGCCCGGTTAGATGAGATGATTATTACCTTATTGCTGAATTATTCTCGTTGTTAGAGATAGAGACCGCTCTTCATAAACACAAACAGTAGGCCTACTTATTACCTGCAACTCAAGTAGCCTTATCATAAAATAGCACAATTAACATAAATAAAAAGAAGAAAATAGAATCACAATAAATAATAGTGTTCTTGACTTACAGTAAAATAGAGCAGGTATTGCTGTAAACAATATTGTGTTAAATACAATTCAAAAAGTGGAACAAGATTGGGAGAGCAAAAGTTTCACAAGATGCCATGCAACTGGCACTCTGGATCCAGGTGATCTAGTGCATCAGAGGTGTATTTCCACCTCTGATCTCAGTACCTTCCGAGCTGATTTGTACCTTTTTACTGGTCTCGGACTATGTATAATAATGGCTCTGGGATGATCAGCAGTTGCATGCAAACACAGTTCAGGCTCTGTCTCTGTTATAGAGGCCACATGTACAGGCGTTTGATGATACAGTTGCCAGTTAAGTGACAGGATGTCGCTTTTTTTAAGCATGAATTTTCAGTCCATTATTATTCCAGTGTTGTGGATTTGTTACAATAGCTTCAAATGCTCTTCTAATGCCCAACATATAGCAAACTAATCATATCAAACCCACTGGTTCAGCTCTCCTGCCCCACACAGTTTTCAGTAGTATAATGCAAAACGATTGTTCTAGTGCAAGTCTAATCAACAGCTGACAATCATATGAAACTATAGTCTCAGTTATGATTAAAAAATGCCTCAAAATAACACTAATTTGCAAATGCAGTTGATCGGTTAACAAAAACAATGCAACAAAGGACAAAGTACTCCACAAATGACTGAAAATCTACTCAGATAAAGAAAAATAAAAAGGCACACAGAGTTATTGGAGTGCTTCATGAATTAAATCCCAAGGAAATACAGATGAGGTCAGTAATGGAGAAATCATGTCGTACCTAAAGATGGCCACAAGGGGGCAGACTAAGACAGGGAGATGGCACAGTTGGCGTGTCAAACAATCACATGAACCTAAGACATGTAGTGTTTTTACTATAAAATCATAAATAGAAAGCCAAGATAGAGCATGAATGCATCTACCTACACCACACACTCACACACACACACATACATTCACTCATAAGTTAGAGGAGTAATTGCTGCGTGGCTAAAAAAAGCGAGGAATGGTCACCCTTTACTCTGTGGAAGAAGCAGCCTCCTTGCTGCTACAGAGGAAGAAGAGTTGGGGTACTTGTGCTCTTTGTTTCATCTCAATTTCCAGGATACTGGCCACTTAGTCGCAGAGTCTATGAGAATTCATCAATTCAGCTTGTTTCACACATGTGACCCCATGAAGGATTCATAGTTTAGTTTTCCATTATCAGTGTCCCCACATACTGCTGGTTGAAGTTTTATGAAGGTTAAGAGGCAGAAATGAAGCCTTTAATCAACACTTCTTCTATATGTCTCTCCTAACTTCCCTCTGACCTTCACCTTTGACCTCTGCTTAATACTGCCAGGGGTCACCCAGAGGCATCTTGGGAACCTGGATGTGCATCTCCACAGGGCGGTCAGGTGGACGATCCCTCCTGTAGGTAACTGTCTTCTCGTTGGTTGTGGGGATATATGAAAGGTCCTGAAGGGTGACAGAAATATACGGTCAGCACATAGCAACACACACACACACACACACACACACACACACACACACATAAGCACACACACAAACAAACACATAGGCACCTGAGAAATGGAGTAAGCGAATATATCCCCATTATTCAATTAGGGGGAGCAAAGTTATGCTTTTGCTTTCCCAATTTTTGTCTTTTTAAAAATAAATGTATCATCATACAGTCCCCACAATGAGGTTGCCTATGCCTGTGAACAGCCTATATCAATGATAATTTTACTCTTTTTGCAACTGACAAAAACAAGTAAAAGAAATCAATTTTCTCGCCCATAACCAGGTTGAGCATACACCAGCAGGCATCCACGTACATACACAGACACACTCGAACCAACACATGATACTTGATTAAGTGTTGCATTTAGAGTTGGGGACTTAAGAGAGATCAAATTGAACACAGGAGAAGCTGAGACAACTCCTTATATGAGTCAAGCTCTGGAAAGACCAGATCCCACGCTTTACCGTGATGCAACTCAGCAGTGTGTTTTGGTCATTCTGTGTTTGTGTGTTTGGATGGATGGTAGGGATGGAAAAGGTTGTCATATTTATGACTTTACGACTTTACAACACTATGAACTAGATTTCCCCTGAGAGTATTATGTCTACAACATCAACAGGGGATGGTGCCCCATGTAAGAATCATTAAGCTGCTCTGCGACAAACGATGAACAGTGAGGGGTTTCTAAATCCTCATAAGCGATCCAAATCAGTTTAGGCACACATATCTCCAGAAAGTCCCCACTGTTGAAATTTCCATCGTTTCCTCCTTCTCAAAGGTGCAGTACATCATCGTAAGGTCACAAATCTGGACACCCTAGATGGTGAGCTGGGAGCTGAGAGGAAATGTAAAATACAGCTGTACCTCTAACAACAGACTCAGATTTCTCACTCCTGGTTTCAGTGGACGGCAAACATAAGCAAAAATATCCTAAACAATTAAGGGGTCCCTAATTCTTGTGGGGGCTTCAGGGTCACAGCAGCCTCCGCTCAATTAAAACTGTGCAAATGATCGCCTCTAGCATACTTGACTTGTGAGAGCTAACCTTTCCAGTGCAGTGATAGGCTTCCTCCTCAGCAGCACCCCCTGGTGACCTGCTTCTCTTCTGTAGCAGCAGCCGGGACACCGCCACCACCACCAGCCCGCACAGCACCGTCAGAGCACACACACTCAGGAATGTTCCTACCAGCCGGCTGCTGCTGGCACACTCTGTAGACACACACAAAATTAATTTCACTCTGGGGAGCTGGGACAGGGTGTCTTTCACTGTGAAAACAGAGTACTGCAATCTTGAGGAATTCTTATAAACATACACTAAATTCATTATCCTACACCCAATCCTCATTTGAATCTTAAAACTGAAATCTGAATCCCCAAACAATCCTTTAAAGAAGTAAGGACAGAACTGTCCTCAATTTCCAAAACTAAAATTGATACTCACAAAGATACCTAGGGATACTTACCTGAGAATCAGGGATGAAATAAGTATTAAAATCTTTTTAAAAGTACCAATAAAATAATTTAAAAGTACACAATTACAAGTGAGTTCTTGCAAAACCACTTACTTAAGTAAAACTAAACCAAATACACATAAAAATGTAGCCTTCAAAGTATTAAAGTACCCTCTTACATTATCAAGGTTGTTAATACTGATGCATTAATGTGTAAGTAGCATTTTTATGGTGTAGCTGGTCAAGATGGGCCTAGTTTTAAGTACTTTATATACTGTAACTAATAACAACAGCTGCCCAATAAATGTACTGAGAGTAGGAAAACTTGTAAAAAGTTGTCCCCTGAAATGTAGTGGAGTAGTATAGTACAATGCAGCATAAAATTGCAAAGTACAGTACTCGGGTAAATGTACTTAATTCCTGTCCACAAAAACACACACATACAGTGGCAGCTGTGCCAGTGGTGCTGCATTGAATAGTCAGCTGGCTGTGTATCTGCTGGGGAGCATGTGTGGATGACGGGCTCGTCGTTCAACACAAAGAGCCCAAAGAGTGCTCTGACATTTTGCAACAGGGTAACCATGGAGACCTGGCTCCTGCTGCACCCGGGAGGAGTGGGCGTGAGCAGGAAGAGAGTGTCCCGTTGGGTGGAGGGGAGGTTGAGGGTATAGGAGGAGATTGGGGGGGGTTGCACGCACAATGAGCAGTGCTGTTCCAAAAAATCGGGAAGGCGGGGATGAACTATAACACTTGGATGTGCAATAATGTGTATGCGTGTAACCCAAGGCATGTGTGAGCTAGTGGCTTTTAAATTATGCATGTGTGTGTATGCATGTGTATGACTGTGAAAATCAAGAAACTGAGCTGGGAACTGAGGGGAAATGTAAAATACAGCTGTAACACTGACAGCAGGCTTGCTGACTCAAATACACCAGGGTGCAGTAGTGCAGCAATGGTAGCAACGGAAGTGACCTCGAATGAATGTGTGTGTGTGTGTGTGTGTGTGTGTGTGTGTGTGTGTGTGTGTGTGTGTGTTGACATTATACCTGGTCTTGTGCTAATGTGAAGCTGGGTCTGACCAGACTGTGAGCTTGTTTGAAACCGATAACGACAGCTGTCATTACTGATGTACATACACTGAATCCACATCTGCCCTGCTTGACCTGTAAATAGAGAGAGAGAGAGAGAGAGAGAGAGAGAGAGAGAGAGAGAGAGAGAGAGAGAGAGAGAGAGAGAGAGAGAGAGTTGAAATGAGATGTTTTTCAGTCCAGATATGTTAAGCTCCAAACGCCAGTGAAAATCCTCCAGGACTTCTAAAAACAAAATAATCAATGAGAGTAGCATTACAAGAGAGCTGCTCTGTTCTTCTGCCCTCACCCGAAATCAATATTTTTATGCTACTTCTATACTACAACAATAGATCAAATTACTGTGTGTAATGTGAAAGCTGTTGCTGATAGTGACAAATCCACAAAATGATCACACAAACTCACACAAACAATTGTTCTACAGAAGCTTTTTGTCTCTTTTAGAGACAAAAAAACATAAAAACAAAGCCCTTTGTCTCGGTTTTGGTTTTCTTGTGGACACAAAGCAAAACAGCTCTGAAAACTCACTGTACACTGCCTGCCAAGCACTAAACTGCAGACAGACAAAGTTAATGACCAGTTGGTGAACACAGTGCAGCATTTAGCCGCTTAAGAGCCATATATGATTTAGAGGATTTTGTGGAGACCAAAACAGAGCTAAAAGGAGGGTGAATATTGGATCAAGTCGGAAACACGACTCCAAATAAACGCTAAAGTCGTTCTTTGTCTGCTGGGTGTGCAAATAGGCAAGTGTTTGCTAACTTGTTCAGCCTAACAGCTTCATAAGGTGATAAAAATATGTCAGTGCTGTGTGCTCGAACTGTTCAAGTCGAACACTTTAGGCAGTGAAATGCGGGTTTACAACCTGGTGTTAAGTTACTCTTTATGTTCTTAGTCAAATGATAAATGAGAAGCTGAATCTTTTTTAACCAGAAAGAAGCTCAAACGGAGCCCAGATTGAATTTAACACCACTAAACCCAATATTATTCCTTTGTGAAATCAACTTAAGATCCACAAAACTGCAAATGGAGGAAAGCCAATGTGTAACATTGTGCTAAGAGCAGAAACCGGCTTTACCAGAGACATCCTCCATGTAGCCCACCAGTGGGGCACAGGTGCTGTTGCAGTGTCCTGCCTCTTTCTGTGTGAAACCATGAGACAGGTGGCAGTCCACACACTTCCTGAGAGAGAGAGAGAGAGAGAGAAAGAGAAAGAGAGACAGATAGAGAGAGAGAGAGAGAGAGAGAGAGAGTACATCAGTGTTCAAGTACAAATACTTCTGTCAGAACTCCCATCATGCTTTGTAGTAGCGAACAGAAACTGACAAGTACCAGTATGATTGACAGGTGCTTTGGCAGGCAGGACATCTCTCACAGAAGTCTCCATAGTGTTGGGGGTCGTCACACACACACTTGCCACACACACATCGGCCCTGGCCGCTGCACAGAAAGCCATTGGCTGACTGACAGGTTGCTGTGGAGAGGGGACAACCACAGCTATCACCTGTCCAGCCGTCGTCACACACACACTCACCTGACACACACACACCCCGCCCTGAGAAGGACAGACAAAGAAAAGAGGAAAAGGGGTTATAAATTCAACTATAACAATGCAGACTCATATCATTACTTTTTGATTTCATGTGATCATTTTGTGTGTGTCCCCCTTTCTCACCTCCACACACCAGCCCCTCATCGTACGGGCAGGAGAAGTCGTCTATCTCGCAGTATTTCCCATAAACCGCCCCAAGCCTGCTCTGCTCACACACACACGTCCCACACTCACACACTCCCCGACCACTGCAGTCCACATCAGACCCATCTGCTCTGCAATTCCAGTTTAAATCTCTGTTTGAGTCCTTAATTGGTCTGAGACCCAGCCTCTGCTCCTGGTATAGGCTGTCTTGTGTTCTGCTGCACGGCGATTGGCTGTCATCATTGCACTGCTTTTTCGGTCCACAACTGCAGCGACATTTAGAGTGGATCCTAACGACGGTGGATTCGTTGTAACCCACAGGGCGAACCATTACTGTAACATCTTCATCTTCACCATCCTCAGGACAAGAGCGCAGGCCAATGGTGATATTGAAGTAGACCTGTATGGGAAGAATAGTTTAATAAACAGCAACTGAATTGTGGAAATTGTTGGGTCTCTTTATTAGGAGTACGGAATAGACTTGCTCTCTAGTGTCCTGAGATAACTTCTGTTATGACTTGGCACTTTACCAATACAGTAAGGTTGAATTGACATTTATATTGCCCATCATCTGATAAAATTTCAATTTGTTTAATACTTTGGTTACCGGCTCCTGCTGACTTTCCCATCAGCCTCAGCTGTACTTTGTGTTAAGGGCTTATTAGCAAATGTTAGCATATTAACATGTTAAGGAAGACAGCTAACATGGTAAAGATTATACCTGCAAAACATCAGCATGTTAGCAGAGTCAGTGTAAGCATGTAGGCATGCTGTAGTTAGCTTTTAGCTCAGAACCCTGCTGTGCCTTGTTAGTAGATAGGTAGATTCATTTGACAGTATTAGATGAAAGTATAAGACTACAATCACCTAGTCCTGATATGCAGTAAATATATTGTGGATATATTACTCAACAACGCTCAAAGCTTATATCTACTGGGTGACAGATATTCAAGGCAAGACAGGTTAAAAAACATACTCACAAAAGAGATTAAGGTTTGACTATTTCCTTAACCAAGAGTCTGCTCTTGCTTTAGAGATCATACAGTTCCTGGCACAATGAAAATGAATTTTCCACATGAAACTTCCTGTATACATCTAAAAGGAATAACATTAAATGAGCTACCTCTCATTGCACAATTGTAGCAATCTTCGATATGGCTTAAAAAGTTGGGTAAATAACCAACAAGTAGATTCTAATTGAGACTTAATGTGAATAATTATTCTGTTGATGTGGTTGGAAAGCTGTGCATGCCAAAGCTTTGACTCTTGAGGAGGGCCTTTTGCTTGATTGATTTTATCACCATTCTGGTAAATGTGGGTACTTTCCATAATTCATTTTAATCCACCCATGGATTAAGGGGCTGAACTAAAGTCTCCTTGTACAATGGAGCAACTATAGAGCAGTGATTAAGCAACTTGGTCTTTGACAAAGTTAAGAGTCCCAAAAGGTTACAGAGGAGTCTCATCTGAAGTTCAGGGAGTGAATAGATAGAGAATTTCCTAAAAATGCTATAATTAGTAGCAAAAGGAGGTCTCTGGTTGTCATAGTTGAACCTTGTTTGACAGAAGCCTTTTGTTTAATCATTACTACTGCAGCAGAAAAGCTCCTGTAGAGAGTTGAGAAGTATCAAAAAGAGCTGTGCAGTGGCACAGACTATTTAAGGCTTTTCTTTTAGTGGATAAATGGAGGAGGTATGAGAGCATGTCCAACGACCTATTTCTAAATATAAATTTGTTTGCGTAAAGGTTCTCATATTGGGCAAAGTAAGGATTTGGGACATAAAAGTCCATGGAATCACATGGAAATGTTTTCCTGTTAAACACAGCCTGTAATCCGCTCAACTCGGATTATTTACCAAATCTTCAGCTCTCAGTGATGTTTGTGTGCGTGTGTGAGTGTTTATATGTGTCACAGTAATCCAATACAACCAATAAATGTCCTGTGACATCTCCGGGGGCATGAATTAAGCTTTCTGTGTACATACAAGTAACATTCAGCTAAATCCTTGCACTGTGTTAATCATGCGATTCAATACTGAAGGTATGCTTGTGTGTTTACCGTTTGGTTGGGCTGCACCCCCGAGCAGCTCTTGTCCTTAGCAGTGGATCCATCAGGACAAAGAGGAGATACAGACACCCAGTACCTGCTGACGGCCTTGTCCTCCACTGACACTGATACCTCCACCTCCGACAACAACCTCTGGATGCAGCGAGGAACAGAAAGAGATGAAAAGGCAACATTAAGTTTACTACCTGATATCAAGAATTTCTGCTGGTTGTAAGGGATTGTAGGTTGAGAGAAAAGACAGTGGGAAGAACAGTGACATCTTAAAATTTTAATGAACATAATCTGTGTGAGGGAAAAGTAATGAGGCATGAGCGAGAAAGAGACACAGAGAGTGAAAGTGTGATTAATTAAAGTTGTCACATGTCCCCAGAAAGCCCTCATTGTCGTCCCTTCTTTCATTCTGAAACACAGCGTGGTTCATGGGAACGAGGAGGTGGGGCCAAAAATAGCATCTTTGTATTCAACCGTGATTAGGACACATGGTTTCCGTGGGGATCTGATAGCTATTATAATGCCAGCTTCTGTTCGGGCTCTGCAGCATGTGTGTGTGTGTGTGTGTTTGTGTGTCTGCACGTATGCGTGGCTGTGCACCCGGATCTGTGGATTCGGCAGATTCTCGGAGCGAACAATGGAGCGCTGTGCCTGAGGGAAGATTATAGCCTAGACTGCTGCCAACTAAACGAAACACACACACACACACACACACACACACACACACACACACACACACACACACACACACACACACACACACACACACACTCATACACACACATAAGGCCTAACCCCTTCATAACCTCCTGTTTCATCTGTGTTTTCCTGTATCATTAGGCCTTCAGTGACCATTCATCTGTTTTCCCAACTTCAGAATTTCAATTTTCATTGTAAGTGTCGGTCCTTTTTCTCTGCACAGTCAAACCTAAATTTCCTAGATAAATGAAAGCAGTACACACTTTCAGAATCATCCCATGATATCACTGATTCTGAGGCTTGTGCTATTACCCACATTGCATGATTAAACAAGGCTAACTGAAAACAGAGTTTGTGTGGCTTCAGCAGATCAGCAGACTAATGCCTCAACACTTCTGAGCTGATAACTGCGTGGGCCCATGAATTCAGCTCATGCTGTGCTGCGGCTTTCTTCTCTCTAACCTTTCACTTGTCCCCTTCCCTCTATTTGTTGTCTAAAGGATGAATAATTTACCAAGGGTGGACAACGGGATGTGAAACTGTGAAAAAAGTTATTCTTTAAAGTTGCAGAGAAAGTAGGTGAGTGCTCTGTACCTTGTACGCATCCACCACCAGCTCTGTAAGGTTTAGAGCCCCGAATAGGCCTAACTTCCCCAGATAGGAGCCGGGTAGCAGACGTACCAACTCCTAGAGAAGCAAAGGAAGAGAAACTTGACTTTACTAAAACTACACTAGCATGACAAGTTATCACTGAAGCTAGTGGGGACTCACTGTCTTGCATGTACATGTGAGCGGGGCAGGTGTTTACTCCCTACCCTCAGAACTACAGTATGTTTTCTCACTTTCCACAGCTGTGGGCATGTGTTGTTGTGTGGGAGAGATTACCTCGTACCACTGGTACTGCTGTTTCTCCACAGCGAAGATGGAGAAGATTTGGTTTTCCAGCAGCTTATCAGACAACTGGCCCACACTGGGGTGGTCCTGAAAATGAGACAACCAAGAGACTAATTCCAAAAAAATCTTGCATCCTCAGCAACATACTCCATATCAAGTTTAAATCTAATATTCTTAGTATACAGTCATCTGTTGCATGAATTTAATTATGATCTTAAAATGTGCCTTAGTATTGTGAAAGTCAAAGTCTACATGGTAGACTCTGTCTAAAGGTCATAAAAACCGCCTGTCAGCACCTCTAAACCTCACAGATTAACACGTTATATCGTGTTTGTTTAATCCAAACAAAAACCAGAATAGAAGTTGTGGTTTAAACTATTTCTCAAACGTTAGTCTAACTATTCCTGTAGTATGAATTTTGCCTTATCTTAATGTGTCTTAATGTGTCTTAATGTGTCAGTCTGCAATTAGGGTACTGCACTGTCAGACAATCTATAAGACTTCCCATGAAGTCCATGTAGTAATTTACACAGTCCACATTAATATAAGACATGAACTTACAACAGCTTTGAATACCCAGTTAAAATGCTCAGCTCTTTTAAGCCTGACTTCCCAGTGCGTTTACTCTTCCACTCACCATCCTAGTGCTCCCTGTGTAGACATTGTTTTCCAGGTGACACAGGCCATCATGTGGCGTGACAATCCCTGCCAGCCGGCTATCCAGGGCCAGGTGAGACGGCTGGTCGGTCATAAGGAGCAAAAGACGCTTGGCCTCTGGTCGCCAACCCACCGCTCTCTAAGACAGAGAGGGTATCATGTAATGAGTGTAAACCATGTTTGCCATTACATTTTTTTTTAATTGTGACTTCAAATAATAACAGATCTATGGACTAGAATAACACCTCTTCAAAGATACCGCATGGGACAAAGTGTTTTTTGGTACTAATGTGTATTCTGTTTCTATTCCCTTATTTATCACTGTCAGCATTTGCAGAGAGCTGATGTGGGAACTATGTGCATGTTTTATGTTTTAAAGGTTTACACATGTGGTAAGAAACTGCAAATTCAAACATTTCACTCATCTGAACTACATTAGTTCCCATGATGATTAGCTCTTTCTGACCATAAATGAAAAGCAGCATCTCCCACCAGTCACAGTCTCGCTTTATGTCTGTGACTCGTCATAGAGTGTGAGAGAAAAGTGGACCTACGTGAGTCCGTATGTGTGCATGTGTGTATTTTAGGAAAACCCAGTGAGCTTATAAGTAGGTCTGACATAATGGAGAGTCTATTTCTAGAGTCATGACCACCGTGGTGTTTCCCTGCAGACTGGTTACTCAGGGCCCCCTGCATGGTCTGACTCACAGCCCTCCAGCAGCCATAATATAAGCAACACTGTGTGTGTGTGTGTGTCTGCCATATCCCAGCAGTGGTGTCATTACTTAGTGGGATTCCAGTGGTAATATCCAATGCTGAGTCAGAGTGCCACCATTCTCCCTGAATAAATGCCTCTTTCACCAGCATGCCGATTTATTACCTAATTTGGGGTTATGCCTATTTTCTCACATAGTCAAGAAACTCAAGGAAACTAAAAAGAAAACTTTATCTCAAAATGTTTTGGTGACTTTCTTTCTTTTTATGTAGCTCTTATGAGCCTGACTTCCAAGCATCTGTATATACACACCTGGCAGACAGCAGCTTGCAGCATAGCATCCAGTCCTCCCTCCGGTGTGTCCATGTTTCCAGAGATGCGCTGGCGTTTGATCACACGTGTGAACTCGCTCATATTTCCTGTAATGCTTAGGACATGGTGGAAGCCGTGGGCTGGACGACAGCGGATCTCATAATCACTGGTGAGAGACAGAGACGGTCAAGAAAGTATTTAACCACAACATTCAGGAGTGTAGAACTCCAAAACAACCAGCACAGCACAGCTCATCATTATAACAACGTAACAACTGACAAATCTCTCCATGAGTCACACCAAAGTGGGAGCAACTTTGTATTTTAAAATAATCACTCCAATCACCACACCACTTTTCTTTTCTCATTAAAAGAAGAAAAAGTTATCTGAAGAATATAACAAGGTCCACTTTAAAGATCAATTCCACTCATTCACTAGCAAGAGAATGAGGAAGAGAGGATTTAAACTACTTTTTGCAGCAATCAATAATCCAACCAACAAATTCTGTGCCTCACCTGCAGGGGTTGTTGATCTTGGAGGGATGGACGTTGATGTAAGGGGAGACGGGTTTGTCCACAAAAGAGCCAAAACCCAGCCAAAGGTCTGAGGAGTGCTCCGCCATACGAAGAGACAGAGCGACGCCCACTGTCTTCAACTGCACCACAGAAAACATGCAGTTGGACACAGGGTGGCGGAATCCAAGGATAGGTAAAGGATGGCACACAGGAAGAGACGCAGGAAGACAAGATGGAGAAGTAGAAGAAGAAAATGATGAAGAAGCAAAGAAGAGATACAGAGTGAGATAGAAAACTAAAGAGAGTAAATATGTTTAAGCTCTAAAATGTCTAGTTTATTCCATGTCAAATGTTAAACTGTTATCTGTGTCTAACTTGTTTTTTTCCCAACTGTGATAAAAACATTTCGAGAGTTTGTGTAAAAAAGTTGTGATCGTTAAGTTTAAACCTTAGAAACACACTCTTTCCTTAAGATAAATAAGTAACATGCTTCAGCACTGACTCACTGAGAGGAACACTGACAGCTACACCTACACGATCAAGGTTTTCCTGCATAGATGCCGACACATCAACCAGGTAGTACAGATCCACAGGATAACGCTCCAGCTGCTTCACAGACACAATGATGCTGGCCTCGGAACCTGGGCACACACACACACACACACACACACACACACACACACACACACACACACACACAAAAGCATATAATAAAATAATCAAACTGCTTTATCACTCATTAACACAGTAAGAGCATATCTGAGATCCACCCTTTTATACTTGATTTAGAAGATGCCCGTTGCCTACCTGGACTGAGGTTGATGCTGATGTCTCGTGGGGACACTTGCGTGCTGCTGATTGTGGCGTTCACCTCCACCTTGATCTCTGACAGCTCCATGAACTCGGCTTTACATCCCATCCTGAGCAGCTTCGCTGGCAGGTCGCAACGCTGGCTCGGGCCCGCACCATCCAGAAAGTCCTAGAGGTCACACAAGGTTGACGGAAAAATGTATGATAAAAAAGTGCCCTTCCTTCCTTCAAATCCTCTTTTATTGTATTTTATTTGCAATTTCAATCTTAAAGTAAGAACAAGCTGCCAGACAGTCCAAGATAATACAACTAAGCTGTCTTTTGAGATGTTATCACTGTAACTTCATTTCAGGAATGAGAACAAGTGACACAAACAAGTGGATAAAGTTGAAGGCCACATTATCCTCTGTGACCCCACAGGCAAGACACACTAATGCTGCCAAATATGTGACCATCATGATTCATGAACGTATACTCAAATCTGTTCTGTATGTTGGGCTTTTGCAGTCGTAATCTTTTCATTTGTATGCTAATCATATCTGCTTGAGTCACTGTGTGAGGCGGATGAAGATTTAAGGTCAGAAGGATAAATACACTTCTTCCATGTGTTCTTAATTTACCCTCCACTCCTGCTCTAATGTTGCCCACTACCTCCATTCAGAAATGTAGGAGCACACACACAGAAAGTACAAAGTACAGAGCTCTTAATGCATCAGTTCTTTGACCCACCTTTTTCCTAATCTTTTTCCACAGTAAAGCTCAGTTTGAACAAAGCTAAAAGCACTTTGATTCATATCACCTGAGAAAACAAGGCAAATTGAAACTGGTTTCAGAATTACTCCCTTTTGGTTTCGTTTTTTGTTTCTGTCATCTTTATGACGTTTGTATGGACTCGTGACGTTGTTCAACTGACATGGGAACCATTCTATTATGTGATCATTATCAGTTTCTCATCAGTTTAGTGCATCATAGCATATCAGGAAGAAGTGTCTTGTTTGTGTTCTCTCATCCATGTCCAGATCTACTTTCTGTTTACTGGATCACTGAGGAAAAGTAAGTTGCAGTTGTGATGATTATAAAAGAGATTAGATTGTCCAATTGGCTTTTTATACTTAGGATATGATTTAATCATCACTTCATAGAATTAATCCTAAAAGCCTAGTAGACAGTTACCCCAACAATACACCGCAACAGCGTCATGCTTTGCAGCTTTGGAGTGGATTAGTGACCTTTGGTACTTTGGGTCTGTGAGAAACACACTCACAAATAGTGATAAACACTGGAAACATAAAACTAGACCATTAAATGTGTGTTTTAAGAGCATGTCATGGGCAAGATCACGCTGATAGTATATGAGAATGCACAATTAATTGGGATTACTGCAAACGTTAAACCAGAAATAGCACAAGAGCAAAGCAGCAAAGAGCAGAGTAGAGAATAAAAACTATATATGTGACCATGGCCTGAATCTGAAAGCTAGACTGAATTTGGTTTATTTATGGCAGTCCCTGTGGCTATAATTTGTCCTGTAATAACTCTGAACACCAAAAAGTTTTACAGCAACTTCCCTGGACTTTCCTTACACAGTTTGTCACTTCGTCTGACACTGAATGTCAATGGCAAAATACAAACAAACATATTTACAAGCACTGTACCTACTTCATTCCAGTGCTTGTCCATGGCTCTCTGACTTTGTGTGTGTAGGAGGTTGGAGAGTGGGTGTTTGAATGTTTTCACACACCAGTGAGCTTGGCCCCGCTTAATAATAAGGTTAGGGTTCACATGGTGGGAAAGCACCTGAAGTCTGTAAACACACATGTGTTGATAGTCTAGTCTAGCCTGTGCAGTTTGTGTGTGTGTGTGTTGTGATCGCTGGCTTGGAGACTTTACATCTTCTCAAGGCTGATTCGGGGTGGGCTCTTTATGAGACAGACTGACATCCAGAAAGGAAAGACAGATACAAACACACAAACACACGGGCAGATGCACACTGAGAGAGAAATGCAGTGATATGTGTGAGTGCCTAGACTAAACACATGGATAGAAAGTGGCTCTGTCTCTGCTGCCGCATGAGAAAGCACGCATGGAAACACACACACAGAGGTCATAGGGTAGGCCACTAAGCTCAAACATCACATTATATTCACATTTGTGGCTAGCATCAAAGCTTTGGTGTGTGTCATCTGAGGAATGCTGCTGAATGTCTGCCACGTTCTCGATTTTTCTCCCTCTCTCTCTCTCTCTCTCTCTCTCTCTCTATCAGTCACTTTTATACACATTCCTACCTCCTTGAAGCACCAGGCGCACTGTGGTCCGCGGCTTAGACACTCTGTGCAAGAAGTGATACTAGGAGACCAACACCCACTGTCACCTGCAGGAAGAGAGGTGGGAGGGGGGAGGGGTCGAAGTGGTAGAACGATGCAGTGAAAGGAGAAGGAGAGTCAGCCAAAAGATGGAGAAGAAATGGGATGAAGAGAAGAATATTGTGATTAGCATATGAAAGAATGTGTGTGTCAACACTCATTAGCCATGCAGCCGAGCCCCTGTGGATATTTAGAGATCTCATGCACACTTTTGATGATGGAAGCACCACTTAGCATCTCATATGAGGCTATTCAGTATGTATCAGCGAGCTGCGTAGTGGGGGAAAACGGCTGAGAGTGTGGGAACAGGTGCTTGAGTTGTTGGAGTGGTGCATGGATCATTTCCTCCACACACACACACACACACACACACACACACACAGATAAAGGACATCTAATCATGAGTCAATCAGTGAGTGCTAAATGTGCACAAATTCTTTAATGGATGGAGTGACAATGGGACAAATCACTAAGGCCAGATACTTTTTTATGCAGCCTTAGCAGAAAAATCCAGCAGGGATGGAGACTAAAGATTTTTTTACAGTGTGACAAAAAGACACAAAATGGACCCGGGGCTCACTGTAGTGGATTAATGATTCATTGAAGTGATTTATCTGCTGAGATCCAATTTTTCCGGAGCCATTTCAGTGAGCTACAGGGTTGGAATGTAGGACAGATAAAGGCTGCAGGTCCCAGCATCACTAACAGCCCCCTAACAAGCCACTCTGACCCAATTAGCACTCCTGGCCTCTGGCAATCTCCTGAATAGGTGAAGCATTTAACTTCTAATTATAACTGATCAATACCTGCTGAAACAAGAGGTTGGTGTGTTGGAGGCTATTCCAGTGGGTCCCCTGATTGTAGGTTTAGAGGGTTTTTTTCCCTATAATTTGAATGAATCGTAGTTTATAGTCTCTTTAACACGTGTGACACCGACAAGAAATCAAAGAAATCATAATGAGGCTTCTTCAAGAGGAAATCTTCATAAGAATGGGGTCCTTTACTCAAAAAAAAAAAAAAAAAACATTAGGATCCCTGCAGGAAACACAGGAGCTGATGTTGCGCAGTGATGTTTTGACATGATACAAGATGTGGGCTAATTGCTGGGGATATGATGTAATTGGCCATAATGAGCCACACTCACCGGCACCGGAGGCTTCTACGCAGACAGCGACCACAAAGCAGCAGAGCAGGAGACACAGAGGGACGCTGCCGTATGTGCGGAGCCAGGAAGTCATATTATCCTATCCACACCGGGAGGGCGACCTGAGCGAAGCAGCGAGGAGGCGCAAGGGGCAGAGGCTGTACCGGGATACAGCTACTGGAGATGAACCGGAGGAGACCGGGAACCGTGCGTCCGCCGCCGCGCGAACAATAGCCGGTAGTGCCGGACCGAGCCGCGGGGCATTGTCGTTCACCCAATAACCTTCTAATCCCGGAGAGTTATTCGCATCCCCCGGGTTAAATCAGCTTACAAGGGCGCTCTCCCGTGGTCCATGAGAGAAGGTGAAGTAATCGGCTGAGTGCGGCGACGGCGGCGGCTGCGGCGCAAGTTCCTCCATCTATTTCCATCCAGCCGCAGGTGTGCGACGTGTCCCCCCAGCGTGCCTCACAACGGCGGACCTGGTCGTCACAGCTGATGGGGAAGTCTCATCCCGGGACAGAGCGGAGCCGACACAGAGAGTATACCGCCAAGCCGCTGTTGAGCTCAGCCGGTGCGCGCGAGCGTGCTGACTGAACATCCCACAGTAAAAGCCAGGAGAGTGACCGTGCTTTAACCGCTGTACTGACTCAGCGATGCCATGGCAACGATGCTCTGTCCTCGCTGTATCAGAGAGAGAGAGAGAGAGAGAGAGAGAGAGAGAGAGAGAGAGAGAGAGAGAGAGAGAGAGAGAGAGAGAGAGAGAGAGACACACACACAAACACAGACGGGGGTTGTGGGGTTAAAAAGGTGGGGGGAAAGAGAGAGAAAGAGGAAGAGAGACATAAAGCTGGAGTTGTGGTGGGGTGCATTCCAAGTGAACCATGTCCTTGAATTGATGTTTATATTGCTTCTTCAGGGAGCCCTTTAACTGCACTGAGGGCTCCTGTGTGTGTGGAGAGCCGGACTTGTGTGGATGGATGTTTGGGGTAAAAGGAGCAGCAGAAGGAGAGGAGGTGTGTCAATAAAAATCAGGGTTCTTGCAGAGGGGTTCACAAGCTGGTGCTAAGAAGGAGGAGGAGGTAGAGGAGGAGGAGGGGGTCCATTGTGCACAGATTCCAGATTCCAATGACATGGAGTAACCTCGCCTCGCCGGCTGCACCGCTGAGCAGGAGCCAAAGACTTGCTAAACAACTCAACATTTTAAGCCAGAGGAAAACAGAGCCACGCAAGGACAAAAGACACAATAGTCTACCATCTTTGGCATGATCCTACGCTTGTCTCTGGCAGAGGTCTACTAGATAAAGTGGACATGTTTTGAAACTGGTTTCACACGCAGGTCCCTTACCTACTCTGTTTGACCCCATCTGTCACTCAGGAGCCTGGAGCCGAGCCAACTTACGCCTCTCCTCTCATTCATTCACATAATTTGTCAAATGGTAATTTTGGTGGAGGGGGGGTGCCAACACCTCCCCATAAGTGCCTGGCAGCAGTCACTCTCAATTATGCTAATGATGCAAACACACACCACAACTCTATTCTAAGTGTGTGAAACATCTTTCAAATCCAGATCCCAAGCCTCTCCACTCGTAGAGTCTTCTCTACCCAGGCCAAGTCTGTCCTCCCTGGGCTCGGGTGGTAGGGAGGATGGTCGGGGGGTGGGTGTCTGGAGGACAAAATATGGATCTGTCCTCTGCTGATAAACCTGATAATGGACTCTAGTGTAAACACTCCCTTGGCCCTGTCAATACTGCTCAACATCAGCATCTTAATGACACCTGTCATCGTTGTGAAGCTGACACAAAACACTCTCTATCATTCACTCCCCCACCATTTTTAACTTCCCTCCCCCCCTCCCAGTGTGTTTGTGTTAGCAGTCGGCTGGGCTTTACATCACGCTGGTCTGGTCTCATCACTCTCCAACCACACACAGACACACACTCTGGTTCATGTCCACTTTTGAAGCACCACTCGCCCTCCTACACCTGCCTAACGTTCTTTCTGAATCGCCCCCTTTAAAAGTTGACTCATCACACTGATTTTGTCTCCCACAGTCTCCTTTCTCTTTGAGTAAACTGACATTAGGACAAAGTAGAGGTCCAATGATGAGGGAGCTTAATGGGGATTCCCATACACAGACACAAACAAGGCACAGCAAGAGCACAAAATGAGTGATCTTTGGAGAGATTTAGTGTGATGGTAATTTTTCTGTTTGTTTGCCTGAATGTCAGTGGCAGCCGAACAATAGCACAATTGTGAATTATTTCACATTTTCGGTGCATTTTTATCGTGGTTCAGTTTTAGAAACATCAATCTAAATTCCCCTCTAATTCAATATGTCAAGATTTGACATTTAGTGATCTGAATTTTCCCCTATTCAGAGTATTATTACCATCTCACACCTACATACACATACAGTACATTTACATATGCACACATGCACTGAATAGTCTTGTTTGTGTTCAAGTCAAGTGGACTTCTTAGAGTTAAATTTCCACTACTACTATTAATCAGGCCCTAGCCACAAGTCCAAAAATAGCACCTGTTCCTTTTTATTTTCTGCATGTGAGTACGTCTACTGATTGAATCAAAGAGTTTTCCCTTTGCCTACTTTTGCAATGCAGAACTGAAATTTTTGTAGTGATAATAGAACAATTGTTGCACAGACTGTCACACTGTGAGACCTCGTGTTTGTACTTCACTATTTTGAATGTCAGTCAGAACAATCTGCAATTGGTTGCGTGAACTAGATCCAGTTCCTTGACTACAGTGGAGTGTTATTCTGTTTCTGATGCTTACTCTCCAAATAATGTAACAGTAAAATGTGTGTCTAATTTTTGTGTGGCTTCGAGATCCAAGCTGATATAATGTGTGTGTGCTGTTGATATTTCAACGGCCAACAACTTTTTTTTGTGTGTTAGTTGTTAGTTGTAAAGATGTTTTGAGGGCTTTATTTGATAGGACAGATGAAGATAGACAGGCACAGATGGGGGGAAAGAGAGGGGCCACGACATGCAGAAACTTAATTCAATTCTAACCATCCACAACCCACACAGTAGAGGTAGGAACTTCTTGAGAACTCAGCAGTGATAGTGAAAGTAGAAATTCTCTCCATTCAGTGTAAAGGGAGATTTGTGCTTCTTACTTTAAATTAATGCTGAGTAACTGTTTTTTTTATTTGTTTTTTTATCTATTGGGAAATAAATGTGCATCTGTTCTTCATGAATAATGTACTTGTTGACCTTCGGTGCAGAACGGTGAGTCTACAGAAAAACATAAAGGAGGACAGCAAATGTACAAATACGGCAAGTACTGCTCTAGCAAAAAAAGCTTGAAGACAAAAGGATGTATTTGTATTAACATAAAGGAAGAAAGTGTTAATTAATACAGTTTCTTGACCTGGAACACATTTATGCACAGGTTTGTATTTACCTTAAAATGTGACCTAATTTAATAACTCAATCTTCATTGTCATCAATTCCAAAATGTGAAAATGCAAAACAAAGGAGAAAAAAAGGACTGCTAAAAGTAATAAATTGAATCAAATTACTTGAAAAACTTATTAGAGCAACAGTCAATGAGAGCAGTGGAACAACAACGAATATTCCCCTACATTATAGTGAAAACTTTTTAAATAGCATATCTAAACATCAACAGAAAGTTTGATATATAATAATAGAAAGAAAATCCCCCGCCTTCTCATACAGTGGTATTGTTTCACAAGTGTTTTTCAGCAACCACAACACCTATAAACCATGTTCCTTACTGTCGCAAACGCTCACGCTACTTGATGATCCACTTCCTCATCAATCTTTCACTTTCCTGATGGCTTTCCTATACTGTATATATATATATATATATATATATATATGTGTGTGTGTGTGTGTGTGTGTGTGTGTGTGTATAGTCAATTATAATAATAATGATAATAATAATAATATAATAACACCTGTAACTATATATAACTGTCAGACACTACAAATGAGTGAACACAATATTTAGTTAATATGGAATACAAGGTCAGAAAGAAAAGACTTTAAATCATACCTAAACAGATACCATTTTCTAAACGATTTCAATGACAATTCAGAAGCAATCACATGGACAAAGAATACAAATTTCTAAATCTTTTAAAACTGACTTAAATTCCCCCATGGTAATCAGCCCTGACAATTTCAGCTCCTTCTGCATATCATTCAATTAAGTTGTGCCCTTGAAGAACATTATTTTGCGTATGAATAATACAACTTTAAGATGTTGGGAACAAACAGGATCAGATATTTCCTTTGTGGTTTCATGGTTAAAATAATAGCATACACTTGAATTTCAGAAAACATCCATTTGCTGCCTACCAGACACAACCAAGGAAACCCCGTGGTTCTTACCATGTTAACGCTGACATACACTGTGACCATCAGTGGTTTTGTGGTCAAATACAATCACGCACAGACGCAAGCAAAATCAACGCTTGACGCAACCACCGGCATGACTGTCAGTACAAAGCAGACAGTCTAAGACCACAGTGACCCATGTCTTTTGTTTTTATTCCTTCATGGAAGAATTCGGAGGAAGTGATAACAAAATTAAATCTCCCAACAACATTCCCAAATGAGATTTTATGATAAAATGAAAACTTTATATCAAAAACTTGGTACCCTGCTGTTTCTGTACATTAACTAGATGGAAAGGCAGATGGATTTATGATTAAAAGTACCACATTTCAGGTATAAAACCTCTCTGAAATTTGACTTTCAGTAGAACAAGCAATCAGTTTGAGTTCAAGTTCAAAATGTTTGGAATGCTTGTGTGTTTTCTAGCTAAGAGATAGATGAAAGATTGATGCCACTGTTATGTCTAAATATTAACTTAGCACAAAGACTGGACACGGGGGAAAGCTAATCTGGCCTGTCCAAAGGTAACAAAATCCAGCTACCAGCACCTCTAAAACTCACTAATTAACACCTTAAATCTTGCATCTTTAGTCCGTACAAAACTAAAGCATAAAAACAACAAATCAGCACTTTATTGGCAGTTATGTGCCCAACTTTTACTTGAATGGACGAGTTGGCAGACCACCAGCAGAGAGTTCAAGAAATTACTGGCCCTTAGTACCTTGGAAATCCTTTATGGAGTCATCACATCAATCAGAACATCAGAACATCAGAACATCAAGCCACAGACTTTAAGTCACAAGAAATCAGCACCACAAACCATTCAACACCATAAGATCTCTGCTGGTACACCCTAAAGACAGGACACCACCCTCCTGGGCACAAGACTGTGGGGTGCGCTACATTTGTGACACGACATATACAGTACCCATGACAAGAAACTGGAAGCAGGCTGCAGCAACATGCTTCTCTGAACAGCAGAAAAGTCAAAGCATCGACTGAAGGGGTCAAATGTCATTGACCAGAAATCAGTGGACAGCCAGAGACAAATCGAGGAGGACATTTAAATCCAACACCAAACACCATATCTGATTATCGACCCTGTAATGATCACCTGTTATTGAATGACCGAAGTTCCAAACTTTGATGTGATGACAACTGAGCATACTAATAAAGACCATGTAATGTCACCGTTTCTCCTTTACATTTGGAAGGGGAAGGTGAAGCGAGGGAGTTGGAATCTGCAACTACACTATACCACTAAATACTAAACACTGTACCTTTAAAGGGTACTCTGGCTATTTACTCTTGCACTTCTATAAAGTTGAGGGACATTCTCCATAACCACTGGATCCTACGTTTCCCATAAGGCAACTCAATAGTGTCTTTTGTTAG